TTGGTCTGACCCGTTGGTCTGAGTGTCAATGTATCGTATGTCATAGTATGTTATACATGTTGAACGGTAACCTGCTACCTATATCCGCCAATAACAAGAACGACAATATTTCAATTGTTACTTCTCAGTTTGTTATTCTTGAATAAACTTCGTCTGATGTCTTCTAGAGTTATGAATATAACCAGTTGCATGACGAGAGAAAGCCTTACATTCAATATGGTATGCTCTGAGGCCTCTGTTAAACCAGGAATCATGAGACAGCGCGGAATTTAGTAAGCAAGATATAAATTAACAGGTCATTTCATGCATTTTCAAATAAAGTATGAAAATATACAATTTTTATTATGAAACAGTTGCACATCAGTATGCATAATGCAGTTGCTGAAGTAAACAGTTCAGTCATCATTGGCGCGAAAATTACAATAAAATTGTTTAAACTGTAAAATAAGTCAATTGTAGAAAAAGCACAGCTTGGTGACAATAATTGTGTTTTCCAAGAACGATTCTAACCCCCTAGACCTTCTAGATCTACCACAGTTGTATATTCTGTGAACAATGGTAGTTCGACGTGTGTGAACCATCCTGGTATTGCGAAACCTATAATTATTGTACCATTACTGTGATATGCAACTTCCTAACGCAGTAAATAGCAGGGCAGTAATAAGACCCATCGCAGTAGAGAACCCCAGCACACATGTGGGAAATTCAACTGCAAGCTATCATTGTCTCGGCACTAACAGCCAATAAAAGACAATGAAGTCTTACTAAGAGAACATTTAACGAGAATATAATCAGGGTTTCCGTTGAAACATCAACAAGTTTGGAGGTAGCTTTCATTTAATTATTCACAAAAGGGGCCAGCATTTTTTTATTTCTGCCTCCTTGGCTCGCAGCATGTGTCCATGAAATGAACATGCAACACTGTGATTGCCATGGTCTGAAGTTTAAGTGAAATTGTTCAATCAACTTAGAGCTTACATATCAATCAATGTTTATGTTTTAATTTATAGTTGCTATGACAATAGCATGGTATATTTAATAACCAATCCATTTCTGTTCAGTATTCATCACGGAACAGGGACGACCACATTTCCGGATAAAGGTATCAGTCTTTGTGTAGTTCTTAGTAGTTTTATGCATAGAGCTCTCGGTGATTTTGATGCATCAAACTTCGGAATATTCGGTTTTTCATGCACCATAAATTTCTCAAAGTTTTAAGCACTTAGTATGAAGTTATCAGAAACTTGGGGTTCTCGTTTTTTTTATGCACCAAACTCGAATTTGTCAATATTTTATGCACAGAGCACAAAGTTATCAGTGATTCTAAAGCACCAAACGCAGAGTAATGACTGTATACACGCATAAATCAATAGTGTACAGATTTATTTTCATTGTATTTGAGCCGTCGTTGGAAATGTTACCCGGTACGTGTGAGATGTCCGTACATATTACTCAACAAGTGTATGATGACCATATTTATCAAATCCACGTTTACATAATCCTTACAGCAAACGAACGCAATGACATGTAATTAGCAACAACGTGGTTTAAAAAACTATTCACAGTATTGAGTTTCTTGTTTGGTTGAGGGTTTTTTGCCATTGATGAATACATGTTTAGATTGTGTTACTATTTCATTTAATATACCCAGCGTGACGGCAACTATTCTAAATGACAGAATGTGCTGTGATTCCAGGCAGTCCGACCGATGGTGGAGAATACTGCTACAGCGTCGACGCGACGATTCCAAATCAAATGATGCTACTGCCGCGAATCATAAACATATTTTAACAACTTTACTTTATTGTAATATTTCATTACAAAGTATTTTATACTTTTGGTGAGACACTCTTTTAATGTTGAAACTCGTGGAAATTCTGTACTGCACAAGTGGGCGAGTATAATCTGTCCCTGAATGATATACACTAACCTGGACATCACTACAAATCCAGTTTTGTTATTTTTTCTCCTAAATATTTGTTGTTGAACACATTTAAATGTACACTATTTTATGCTTGATTTAATTGTAGCTAACTCTAAAAATTCTAATGGTTTTTAAATTGTTCAATTTAATATTCTATTACTTTTACTGGTTGCTTTGCAAACTTCAAGCGTGACAGCTCACTATATTTATATTAATAGAAATTTTAATTCAATTTTAAAGAAGCGTATGCATAATTCCAGTTCGAAATCACGATAGGAACATGTTTCATCAAAAAGAAAAACAACAAATGAAGGGTTACACGTTGATATTCACACCACACAGGTCATGATTTAGTCATACTATAGACCTTGGCAGTACTTAGTGAAAGAAATTAAGTCACCAAAATAAATAATTTCATAATAGTTTTTGTGAAAACGTTAACTTTGAATACAACAAGTTTAAAACTGGTCGGGCTTAATCGCACACTGTACCGCATGAACTGTGATGCGTGTATCGCGACAGACTCTCTCCATATTTGGTCATTGTTTGTCATGTATTCCGACCATAGCTTAATGAAACATATGTCTAAATATGTGCAAAATTGGTGATGTTAATGTACCTGGGAAAACTTATATATAACTAAAAAAACAAGTGACCAATTGAAACGAAATCTAAAAATCGATATCCCAGATTCAGGTTGGACTATAATTCACATACTTTCTTATCACAAGGATATGTACACAGAGATTAACTATGCCGAGGGCCTTTCAGCGAATATTTATGAAAATATTCAGAGAACGATATGTATCTCATCCATTGCAGCGTCATTGAGTCGCCACTTTGGTGTCCCCAAACGTTTTTCACACGTAAAACATGAAGCTGAATTGAATAACGCAACAAATTTCACAAAAAGATACGTCTTGCATGTCCGACATAAACTGCTTCTTCTGCTTCATACTTAATACTATCCCTTGATTTTGATTCTTAGGACCAGAATTATATCAACAGTTTCAGACACTTTTATTACATTCTATGGGGGAATACATTTCCTAGCCCATTCGCTATTCCAGGTCCTGCAGTCCTGCGCTATTTGAAAATGACATTATCATATTTCGTCCAAACTATTAAGCTAACGGTTTTGTGGAAAACTATTTGATTATATCTCAGAATGATATGTGGCGGATGTGTATGTGGTGTGCTCTTTCCGAAACATCTGATATAACATGTATACCGCGAGGTGTAATTGTAATTCGCATACTAACTGTTTGGGGTGGTGCACTGTGTTCATTGTGTTTTTGTGCGTTCATGGTCTTGTGAATTACTATACTATTGTTTTTACATTACGAGTTCGGATTCAGTCAATCCTCAACATGATTCAGATCGGAATTAAGTATTGATGACCCCACGGATGCTTTTAAAAAGAATAGAGCTGCAGTATTATTCGCATAATGAACAATATTAGAATCCTGTATAACATTAAGAAGACTATTAATATAAATGATAAGTAACAATACACCTAGTGTAGATCCTCGGGCACCATAGGCTACCAGCAGTGAGTCACTCACTATGAAAGTTTATTCTGCGCTTCTAAAGGGCTTATTGTGTCCAGCGTCAGTATAGTCATTTACAAGCTAAGGCGCCTTAATTCCATACCCCAGTACAAGGGCCTGGGAATCTCTGTCATTGTCGATATTCCTAGCAATGCGACTTTCTATATTTCTGAAGCCATGTTTTATTAAAATTGTGTTTGTTGATGGTGCCTTATCACGTTGTAGTTCTAGCTCGTTTGATTTGCATCGCGCATGATTATTACTATGGGCGTCTCTAACTTATATTATCAAATCAGGAAATATTTTACAAAACTGGTTCATATACGTATTTCTGACTACGAAGCAAACGCCGCGGGCCAGGTAGTAGACGATGCGCGTCGCCACACTGCATTACATATTGAATTTTGAGATTACCATTTTTTTTATTTCTTCCACGCAATCGTCATTGTCCGACTCCTCGACTCTATTTAAACGAAAATTAACACTTCTCAGGTAGCGCCGCGTACTCACGTTCACCGTGGAATTAGAATTGGCTTCTTTGCAACGTGTGACTACCTCGGTCGTTTTGTATGGAGATTACAATCAGTCAGGTCCACCGATGAAACTACAAATGTTCGACTTTTTTCCTTCTTCTAAATTATCTACCCAGGCACATGAACATCGATTTACTTTCGCTAAATCTCTGTCTATCTTTGCACCCAGTCTTGTCATCATTAGCGTACATAATGGTAATTATAATTTTGCTAGTAGAACTATCAACTGTAGATCCGTGCATGCAAGTGGAGACACAAAAACAAAACTATTTATGCTTGCACCTGCTTCTGCTCTCTTGGTTTCAAAACCTGTTATCTTATGCCATCTTCCTAGGTGTTTTCTTCAGTTCTTCTGTTTTTACTGCTGCCCGGCATCCCTTTCTCTCTGTCATTGGGTTCTTACCAAAATGACCAATCAACACTCAGAAATTCGTAGCTACAAAATTTCAAAACATAATTGTCGGACTCGGGAACCACAAATGCTCGATAATTTCACATGATTAGCGCCATGATTAGCGTCAGTTTGCCCTGTGTATCGTTTGACCTCATTTGTACTCTGTGTTCATAGTGGTTCTAATGTGTTTAGTACATGTATTAGTGTCAGTGGAGTTCTCTATAAGTGAAGTAAAAGCGAATGTACTGTGTGGAGTGGGACTTGTTCTATTGTTGGTGCTAAGAGAGAGTGAACCCACTGTGACCTTGACCAAAGGGGTCATGGCGTGACAGTCAGTAGACATACAATGATCTCAATGTAATCTGGAATAACTTCGAAATATAACAATCAGTGTTATGATCAACATTAAATGATACATATTAGATAATATCCAGCAGTTGATAAGTACTCATAATAGCTAGACGTTTTGAGAAATGGCTTTTTATCAATAGCAGAGAAGAAAATGTTTAAATATATAGAACATGAGAATTCTACGGATTGTTTGTGTAAACAGACATGCTCCTAATGAAATGTTTTTTTGTTGTTGTCTTTTTAGCAAAATGTCAGCTTCAGCTCTACGTAAAAAACTTGAAGATGGGTTGGAGACAATTAGCCAGTCCAGTGTGGGATCAATGGCCAGGGTGGACCATACACTCAGGACGCTTCTCCAATCTGAAGAAAAGGGTTGCCGCGCCCTCTGTGGTGGGAACCCATTAACACAATCTGGCAAGGTGAAACAAATGATCCGTATGATGGGCCTGACCATGGTGCCTGTCATAGCACTTATTGGTCTTGCTCTAAATGACCTGACTACAACATTAAGAGAGAATGAAGAAGCCTATAATATCCGTCAAACCATCTTCTTCAGCCGGGATATCGGAAATCTGCTACATTGCTTACAGAATGAACGTGATATGACCACGCTACATATTAGCACGCTGGGACCAGTGACAAAACAGTTCCTGAGCGATACATACCCTGAAACAGACTCGGCGCTAGATGCTATGGACCAATGGCCAGTGAGGGAAAAGCAGGATCTCACACAGTTTCAGAGCAAGATTGAATTCCAGAAGTACCTTGATGATCACCGTGTCTATCTCGATGGGTCAAACTCCTCCATTTATGATGAAGTGGAATTCTACACAAACATCATCAAAGTCTTTATTGGTTGGCTTTATCAGAACATCGCCAATTCATCTGGCAGAGATGGAATCTGGCGACAGTTGGTGGCATATCAATTGGTGATAATTGCTAAAGAAGACATAGGTAACAACACAATTAAAAAATACGTGATCCAGCAATTCATTATCATATATAATACACATTCCCTTATATGGCGATCTTACTCACATGAACTTTTTAGCACATATCCATGCATTGTCCGGTTGGTACAATGGTTTTCAATCCACTTTTTAATCTCAGCTCCCAGATACCCAAAGAAAAATTGTAGGAAGTGAATTGTCGTGTCCAAAAATCCAAATGTTAATTTGAATATTGTAACTCTTTGCTTGCAGGAGTAGAACGAACTCTTGGTGGTATTTTTTACACAAATGGAAGATTTCGAAAATACAATGACTATCTATGGTATATGGAAAAATGGGCTAAGGGTAATGGCAACTTTGAAGCTTCTGCAAAGTATGAACCAAACATTTTGAACACCTACCAAAAAAAGATTGATGTACTTGATTCGACAGTAACTCAGAGCGTGGCAGACATGAGAAACACTATAAGACTGAACAGCGCCACCAACGAAGCCTCGTGGAGAACAGGTACAATGTGGTTCGATAATATGACATATTACATGGATGTCATAACCAGCGTTCAAGATGCACTCGCTGTAAAGATCCTTAGTGAGTTAGATTCTCAAATACAGGAGGACCTCGTTCAGCTTGGGATCAGCATTGGTATATTGGTGTTCGTGCTTCTGATGTGTCCGATCATTATTAACTCGGTCTATAGCCTCACTGACCGTATACAGCAGTATGCAATCACCTTGGTAGATCAGACAGCCCAGTTGCAGAGAGAACGTAAACGCAACGATTCACTGCTGTATCAGATGCTTCCACAGGCTGTTGCCGAACGACTCAAGAAAAACAAAGACGTCCTGGCTGAATCCTTTGAGGAAGTCACCATCTTCTTCTCAGATGTCGTGGGATTTTCAGCTATCTGCGCAGAAAGTTCTCCTCTGCAAGTTGTACGCATGCTCAACAACATTTATACATTATTTGATTCCCGGATTGAGCAATATGACGTGTACAAAGTGGAAACAGTCGGGGATTCTTACATGGTTGCATCAGGTATGTACAGCATTCGTATATATAAAACCCACTCTTTATCGAGTACACAGCGCTGTTCCATCGACTTGGTATACTGGGATGATTTACTTTATAAATGTTGGTTATCCGTCGTGTCTAATTACTGTCTAGCCACTGAACTCAATTAACGTTATTAAAACAATTTCCAGTTCCACGCCCTTTTATGTTTTAAGTACAATTTATCAATTTACCAAATAATTTGATTTTTTGTGAAAAATTCTAAATATTAACACCGAAATACTCATTCTGTAAACATACAAAAACACATAACTGTCTCTAAATCACGTACAACTTTAAATCTCATTCTCTCGAGTTATCTATCGTGGAGTCACCCGTAGATAGAATAAATGTATCACAGCAAACAACAAATATTTTATTCGTTATTCAATTATTTGTTTTACTATATTGGATATTAATAATAGTTCATAATATTTGATGATCGATATGTTTGTGTGAATATATGTAACCTAATTAACATATTAAAGGTTCAAATGTTTAAGTCAGAAATGTTCTGAATTGGAAAACACTTACTTGATTGAAACGGTTCATTTTCACGTAATTAACATACAATGACAATCTCAGTTACGTGTTTGTAGCTAACTAATTACAAAATTGTTCTCAATCATTCACTTTATTTTGCGAAACGACACGTATTAATTATTTTTTTCAAGAGGAAGGTTCTGAACAAAGCAATACTTTTAAAGTTTCTCAAATAATAGCCCACTTAAATTATTATAGACGTGAATAGTCGCCAAGATTTCGTTAGGAGCATCCAATGCTTCCTCGCATATGTATCCATGGAGCACTGTTGAGAGGTCGCATGATTCTCTCGCCGAGATATCTGCAGTGACTTTGGTATACTGAAGGCTAGCGCTTTATGGATTTTGCACATTGTTAATTTCGTAGGTTTGCCTAGACGAAATGGTAAACGCCACTCTGGCGAAATTGCTACTATGTCCCTAGATATTCTACATTATATCGCTACAATGGAGATAGCTCATTTACCTGGAGTTAGAATGAAGTTACGCATCGGAATGCATACTGGTAAGACATACATGTTGATCAATGACATTTACAGTTAGAAATCCTAATGTGTCGGTGAAATTCATGGTCACGTATTGACTTTTAAGAATCAAACTTGGATATTTGCTTCCATTTGTGGCTTGTATAAATGTTATGGCGAACTTTCATAAACAATAAATACGGTTATTTGTTACACTACAATGTTTACCGCGAAATCACGTAAGTACTTAGTCGTAAGTTGACTACGTAATTCATCATAGTCATACGAGCTGTATAAATGTTCACAAGTTCACTATGAAATGTATTATATTATTATACTATCAATAATGCATAATGAGTATACATTGTATTATTATTGCAGGTCCCGTGGTGGCTGGGGTTGTTGGCGCAAAGGCGCCCAGGTATTGTCTGTTCGGTGACACAGTTAATACGGCCTCAAGAATGGAATCTAATGGCGGGGGTAAGGTGTATTTCAATTTTAAAACCGCGGCTATCAATTACGAGAATTATCCTGATATCTGTTGAGAATTAGTGGGTATTATGAGGATCACATCCACAGTGTATGATTTTAAAATTATTGTCAGAAAAACATGTATAGAATAAAATAGCTCCGTTTGTTTACTATGCCTATGAATTACAACCTGACCATGTGACGTCGCATATCTACAAGTTGTCCAATGAATACTATTGCGTGGCGTAGTAAATATAAACCAATTAACCAGTCGTATTGCATGTTTCACTGTTTGCAGATAACAGAATTCATCTTTCACATAGCTCATTTTGTGCTCTAAATTATCTTGGTGGATATCATATGGTGAAAAGAGGAGAGATCTCCATCAAGGTAACCTACATTAATTTAGTTTAGATATTTTTAGGCCCACTTGTAGGCAGTGGGCAGTTGAAATGAAGTAATAGATTTAGTTTACATGACTTTGTGACTCGAAAAATCACGCATATGATAAATATGTCCTTATAATAATTTTTAGTTTGATAATAAGAACGTTATGTATAATATGTAAGCTGCGCTCTCTAGCGACAAAGCATCTCTATGGCATGAAACAAGATGGCCGTTCACAGAGTCGATATTATTTTTAATCTGTTGTTGTCCTTAAATAAAATAATAATGATTATGAGAGAATTGCTATATTCCGAAAGACGAACGACTACACAATCAACTACAGATTTTTGAACTGTATTACTCGCACACATCTAGAAGAGCGGTTGCTGTCGATAGAGCGAAAGTAATAGGAACCGTTTATTTGCAACAACTTGTAATATTGTAATATATTAATGATAATGTTTTTTAATCATTCTCAGGGCAAAGGAAAAATGTCTACCTATTGGTTAACTCGCAAGGAAGGGTTAGAATATGAGATAGCTGGCACGCTGCCAAATGACCCGGCTGTTGAAAGATCCGAGAGTGGCGACTTGTCGGTCGGCTAAACAGTACATAGAAGACCCGAACGGCGGTAAATCCGTTCTTAATAAAGAGCATGCGCAGTCGTTCGCAACGGACAATAAGATAAAATAGCGACGTCGTTCGATAATGTTGTTATTGCGAATATCTACGTTAATTACACAATTCAGGAGCAACGTTGTCCTAGCAGATCCCGTGGTAGTGCTGAGAGGCAAAAATTGATTTTTCGACCTCTGCGTATTGAGGACATGCCACGTGTGTATACGTATATATGAAGTTTTAATAATTTCATTTAATTTCAGTAGCCTATTATTTAGTCACACGAATATGTTATCTTCATATTCAGCATGACTGCATTTCTGTAATTGTACAGTTATGACACGGTATGTTTTTCTTCAATGTTAAAGGGCGGTAGTCGTCGCGCCACGCGTACGCGAGATATATGGGTTGCATATAAACAAAGATGGCGACTTTGGCTGTTGCAACAAGTACAAACTTAGACGTTACTAAGTTTTAATTAGGTATTTATTTGGTGATTGGAAGGTATCGAAGGAGTCTCCGGCGGTAATCAGTGCAAGTCGCGCCCAGGTCAAACCTCATGCTTGCGATTCCAGAATAGCGCATTGGATTATGGGAAAATCAATGTTTATCAACACAAATGTCGCACGTGGGCGGCGCGACGACTGCCGCTCTTTAAGGAAGAAGCCTACTCAAAAATGAAAAGACGCAGAGTTTATCAATTTTGTAATAAATTGTACCCTACCAATATTAGAATACCGACTTCAATGCTTGTTGTTACTAGCTCGCTTATGGTCATATTTCGAAATGGCAGGCGTTTTGTCAGTAATTGCAAATTTAGATTGTCGGGAGACAGATTAGTTTTAATCGGCCGGACATGATATCATTGTGAACAAAAATACGTTACTTGTGGTGTTAATTTTGTTATTATTATGCGATATATGACAAACTCTCAAAATTTATGATATTTAATGACAAATAATATAAAACAAGCTTAATTCATGAGTATTAGAGTGTTAGCAGTATATTTTACTGGCATTGTATCTCGGAACTATTTGAAGTTGCACGAATGATATAAGCTTAAGCTGTTACGTTGTTTATTCAGAAGATTGTTCGTTTAGAAATGAATAGTTTATATTTTGACATATATATATATATATATATATATATATATATATATATATATACCTATATTTAAACTTATATTTTTAAAACATTGTTTTTAGTTTTGGTGAATCGGAAGTAGGCAATTATGTGAATTCGACGGCTACATTTGCGCTCAGTGATTGTAATATGTGCGTTATTTGAATTCATTTACTTGCATTTCAGCCTGACAATAAATAAAATTCTCATTAAATGCAATTATTAATATTGTTCTTCGATACAAGTTGAAGTATGCATTATGATTATTTTTTTCAGTGAGTGTATATTGTTATGTATGCAGTACTGTTAATTTGGTCACCAGCATTCCGTGTCATTTTTTTTTTCAACTTTGATGTAAAGTTTAATGGTATATCTCTTTACTACGTTGCACAATAATCTAAAGAAATGATTAAGCGTGTAGAAATCAATTTGTTCAAATACATATTTTAAACAAAGCACGAGGTATTATCAGTGTGTTACCTATTTTATTTGTGGGTAGGGAAGTTGCAGATTTAAATTTCTTATATAAACGTGATACAATTCTAATATATATATTTATTCTTTTATTTATCGAAATAGTTGTACTTTATCTACATACGACATATATGACATGTTTAGTTTATTTGTAAAATAGCATCATGAAGAAGGTTTATACATATTTTTTTTTGCATCTTCTATATATTCAATTTAATTATGTTTTATGTATTGTTTGTCTGGCGTAGTCTATTAATGCTATATTAATTGGGTTGGATGTCTGAATATTAACTAACGCATGGCGCATCTTCTCACACCATCTAACGTTCACACTAAACATGGTGGGGTGTGTTGCAAGTGAGGGCAAGTGAGGAATTACGGAAATAATGTCAAAAGATGAACCGATAAAATGGCCGCCTCTCGAGGAACAGACAACCGAGATGAAACTGCAATATGAATTTAAAAGGTGCATGCATTTTATACGCGTTACGGAGGAAGGTAATTTTAATACGCTACACGAGAGGTGAAGTACAATTGCAATGGATGAATAACACTAATGCTTTGAATGAAAAAAATGGCCTTCAGCCAGCAGAGCCATATTGGGATCACACGTTTCATGCTAATTTGCGGACGTTATAAACTGGAAAGCGCTAACGGCGGCTTCGATTACAAAGGCGGAGTTATTTATTTTGATGAATATCCGGATAAATACGAGTTGTTGAAACGAGTTGTCTGTGATGACCGGATTGAGAAAGTGGGAAAACACAAAAACAAACAAGAAGTATAATTTGAACCATTCAGCATACGCTTTATTAATTCATTTGTGCTCCATAACTGTTAGCATACACACTTAGTGTAAACTTTCGAGTACAGAGAACAGCCGTGTACATGACGCCTCGAAAAACGCAAAATATGCGTGGGCGTTTGTACAACTAAAATATATTATATACACGTACTTTTACATCTCAAAGCGTGTCAAAGATCACAGTGACAACTCAGAATATTTCTCAAGCATCGTCCAGCTTACCGTCAATAAATACCACTAACTCAGTTCAATAAAACAAGTCTTAAAAAAAATCATAAATATACAAGTGAAGTACGCATCAAATAATATTTCTGAACTGAGCAGCGCATCTAAAAGAGAATTGTCAATTGTTTTACGCAATAAGTGAAAATAATTTTATCTCGGGAAAAATAATCCTAGGAAAATACAAGTCCCTGAAAAACTTATTTAAATATAAACATTTTTCTTTAAATCTAAAAATTGTTTTACAGCTGGTGATGATGCATAGATTCTGCTACTACAACATTCGACTGTCAGTGATACACGCAATTTATACATTGAGTAAAATGAATGGTGATGGATTAACCCTTATTGAACAATTAAAATATTAGCCTATCAAAACAAAACTGAATGTAGAACAATTTGAAATTGTTCTGTTATAAAAATCTGCATAATAAATACAAAAAAATAGGAAGGCAATTTTTACTCATTAAAGCTATGCTAATTAATCTACATATGGACAGATTTACATATTACTACAATGCATATGGAAAGATCTGAAAGAAAGAAATTATGGATACAAATTTCTATAAAAACCGCTCCCATATGCGAATGGATGTACAATCTACATAATCTACAACACACTATGCGTGTCTATTTCTCATTTTACATATACTACATATAAACACTCGTAATAAAAGTGACGTGTACGCATATACTACATATGATCACACACCGTAATCGTGACGTGTACATTACGCAGGAATAATTGGAATAACAATGAAGTATTCGTGTACGCCATTTGCTCATATATCGCAATGGTCCCCGTTGGTGCAAATATACAGCAAGACTATTTCACACTATAGTCTGATAAACCAGCAATTATTTTGGCAGGTACATTTGTGTATATTGATGGTCATTATGACAATGTGGTGACATCATACTAATTACATATTCTACATCGACAATACTAATTTATACTCACTCGTCATATATGGTAATTATCTACAAGTTAGTAAAATGATTGTTTTAACAATATGGTCTGTTTTTAAATTACAAAGACCCATTTTTAACTCGTCGTGAATGCCATACAAATATTTTACAGTAGGTGGCTGCAGAGATCTCGTTGAGAACGAGAGACTCGAGACTTGTATTTGTTCTTCAAAATAATGTTCAAATAATTTTCTGCTGTTCCAAATTCCATTGTTACATATGGCAAGAGAACAGAGGATGCAATGGCGAAATCTCGTGGTAAACTCGCTCTCAATGAAATCGTGATGGCTATTTGCAGTGGTCTTTTTTTGGATATCCTGTACAATGCAGTTTCTTTCATGAACCCAAGTTAAACAACCATATTAATGACAATTAAGCTATCCAATACTAATTACATATTCTACAGCAATAATACATACTCTACACTATACACATTCGCCATCACACGTTATGACGTTATCTACACTATTATAATATTCTGGATATACACACGCCATTTGTCTGAACATACCACTCAAAGAATGTACAATGTTTGTTTACAAGATGATGATTGCACGATTATTGCTGGTACACGCAGCGTAATAGTTAAATAACATATTTAGGTGTTACATTTACATATTTTACAGTGTCAGATATTAACAGTTCACGCCGGTTATTAAATATTCACATTCACAATTATCAAAACACAGCTAGAGATAAACGTGGGAATCGTTGATGTTTTCTGTCCCGTTGAACCACAAAGCTATACACGTGCTTTTCAGGAGTATACTATACTCTGTCATGATTTGCAAGTTGGCGCCCCCGACTCTGGTGTTAACGCGCGCGGTTTCGCTTTACCAATCACATGGTCTACTGTCGAAATCACGTGGTTGGCTTGTTCTAACTGTCAGTTTTCCCCACACCGTCTGATGATAGAAAAACAACGATAGATCGTTACAACATTTTTCAAGTAAGTTATGAGACGTTCTACGTGTTATTTCGATGGGGAATATGTGGGAAGACAACAAAAATACTCGAACTATCAAGTAAAGACGCTCGAAATACCAAAAAGCTCTATAATTAACATCTGATATGAAACACATCGATTCAAATTATACATTGAACTTACCAAGACATATCGGGCAGCATTCCCCATCTATGTACATTTCATTCTCACAGTCGGTTTTTGGACACTTCCTTAGTTTACATGTTGCCTTTCCCTCCTGGAAAAAAGAAAAACAAATTAAGACACGAAACATTACGTGACAGTATCTGGATGTGATGAGAGTAATGTTGTGTAATCAACATTTGTCTGGGCGATCATGTTTTTGCCTTTTTGGTTACGAAAACAGACAAATTGACGCGTACCTTACACTGGCACCTAATACATCTACTGGTAGAAGAAGATGCCCCATTAATCTCCGGCACCCACTCTTCGTCTGCTTCATATCTTCTCTTACCAACGTAACAGGCTACAGAAAAATACAATTTTTTGTTATTTCGATGTTTATAAACGAATAAATTTCCAATAAAGGGAAACAGTCTGTCAGACGTCAGTTAGATTAGATGCAGTTTATGATTGAGAGACTTTGCAAAATCTACATTCTTTGATGAAATTGGCGGGAAAATAGACTTTTTATTTGAAATGCTTACCCGAGTTGCTGTCGTCTGCCATGAACTCGTATGATGGTATCGTTCTCGGAGTAGTTGTAATTTGTTCTGTAATAATTAAAAATAAAACAAATTAATTGATTTTCAATTACATCAGTGATCCCGTCTAGTGGGCAGCCAAATATATCACAGTATAATGTTCCACTCGAGTTAAATGAAGTCATTTACCTGGGCATGTCTGGCAGCAGTCCATGGGGTTCAGTCTCACTGGTGCGTCGCAATGCAACTCTGGACATCTTATCTTCGAGCAGTTCACTTGGTTTCCGGGCTGTAAAATTAAGTTGGGATTATGATAATATGTAAAAAATGAATTTATCATGTTCCACTGTACTCCACTGTATTAAAATGGAGTTTCCCTACCAGATGCATACCACACGTAAACACGAATCTACCGCGTGATATTAACACTTACCATACATTTACAGAGGGCGCACTTCATATAGCCGAAGGGAGGTACGTAAGGATGCCACGTTGACCCCATTGCATGGAACTTTTTGTCTCCTTCGAAAAAGCAACCTAGAAGACGAAACAAATACACATAAATACAAAATCATGGCTACCTCAAAATCAATGTATTTTAGAGAGACGTTAATTTATCAATGTATATTATCACTTGTGTAGTACCTTCGTCGTGTGAATTGAGTTTATTCTCTTCTTCAGTTATTTCTTTGCCTTCAGTTTCTTTTGAGGGACAAACTGGACAGCATTCCTCGGGTAGCTCGACTGGTGAAGAGCAGTTCAGTGTGGGACAAACGACAGGATCGCATATCACTGCCAGTCTCTACAAACACAAAAGTAGGAACATTAACACTTGTAAATATTTCCGCCGACCAGTGGTTGTCCGCAAAAATCTACCTATGATTGTTAACACGAGTTTTGACTGAAAAAGAACTTCACAATTTTATTTCTAGTTAACGTTCGTTTTCCTTTCTCAGTAGTTTACTATGGCATTTTAGATATGATTCCTTACCGTGCAAGTACAAGTCGAACATTTCTTGTCAAATTTCGGTGACCAACTAGATCCGTCGACATGGTACTCAGATTCGAAATAACAGGATCTTGGGTCGGCCTCAACGTTAAACCCAATACTGGGCATGTTATTATTGTTGGTGTGTTCCATTAGATTTGGAGCATCTTGGCGTCCGCAACTATTTGGTAGGGTGACCTGAAATAATTGTAAATGTGTTCATTTATTAGTTTGTTTATTAATATTTGTTATGTTATATATTCGATTGTTGAAGCAACACGAGATTGCGCGAGGTTATGCAAGTCGTTTATTTTGTATTAAACTTTTCGATTTATGTGATATATTTGGTTATTTGGAATTTAGCGAGATTATACAAATCGTGTCACTTACTTGTCCTTTTATTTCTCCATCCGGGTGTGCTTTTGTGCTGATTTGAATAAACACATTTCCTTCATTTAGGTATTGTAACACGTCCTCATCGAGGTCTGCCAATCTACCTATTGCCTAATGAACAAATGTAAGAGAAAACTGTCAATTCAGAGAAAATATTTAAAAAAGTATAAACAAAAGTAAATAGCATATTCTTTATATTGAGGAAACAAAAAAGCTACCTACCAAATCATCGTCGAACGTATTAAGAACAATTTTCTGATTCCCAAAAGCTTCGTCAATAATTATCAGCTCGGCCAAGCCATTCAGTTTCGAGTGCTTTTCCTTGCCTTTTGCCATCTGCAATCCTTCTGTGATTATTTCATAATGAAGTGCACAGTCTCTGTCGAGAGAGATCCAAGCATGTCCAGCAATGCTTGTTTGAACGGGTGGAACAAAATTGACTCCCGCCAGCGGGATTGGCATACCTGGTAGAAAAAAATTTGTTTGTTTACATTGAGAACCAGAAAGCGTGAGATTGGTGAAATCTCGCGAGAGTGTAAATAAAATGCAAATAATACTAGTGACTTGCGTGATTTTAATTTTCACTTACCTTGATGTCTTGCAAAGTGTCCATTGTACAATAAGTGTTTGATTTGACCTCTGATCTCTGACGTAGGATGTTCTACAGTGGCGACATTTATTGAAATCTTATTCATCAGAAGATTATGAATATCGCCTGCTGATGGCTTGTCATATTTACCGTATGCCTGACAAAAAATAATTTGTTTTGCAATTATCATTCACTATCGTCAAATATCGCGTAAGAAATTGTATGTAAACAAATTATTTTACACGCACTGTATACGTCTAATGGAACTTACCATTTTATCATTTTTTCTCTAATTTTAATGTTTAGTTCAACATGATATTACATATATATTTTTGATAAAACAGATTTATAAAAAACAACAACAATTTTTATAGAAACAAGCGATTGATGACAAAAAATGACACTCGCTGTGAAAGCGTTCATAGGCATTTTAGACTTACCCATCCATTTTTGTAGAAACGAATAATGTCGTCTAGTATTTTACGTTTATGTGATTTCTTGGGGTGGGGCACTTCAAGGGTCAACCCAATAACAGCAGTTTCCACACCAATAAGTCGTATAGTGTACTCAATTACACCATCGTCTGTGAGAGTTATCATTGCAGACCCAGTCGCCCCAGTGTAAGTGGGACCGTCCAATGCGCTACTGCCAGACATTACAGAATGCATCTCTGAAGTAAAACATATACTGTCGATTAAATAGCGCGAAAACGCACAAACGATAATTGCTGCCCTCAAGGAACAGGTAGTATTAATAATCAACTTTTGTTTCAGTGATAGAGGGCGCTAGATATCTTACCATTACATGTTCGGAGCGGTGTAATGTCGCCTTGTGCGTTTGTTCTCCCCGATGGTAAATTCAGTCTGACAAGCACATTCACCTGACCTCTGGCCAACCATCTTTGTTGGTTCTTGGATACACGTGACCAAACGTCAGCGAACACTGCGTCCTAAGTATGAAGAAACGTAACGATTACAAATGTACTTTTCATGTTTAAACACTATCTGGTGCATAATGGAAATATTTGCATACGAATTGTGCTACGGATTACGGAATACGTACCATCGGTCGGATTGATGTCGTCACTTCATTCAGTAATTTCCCACGCCTCACGAACTGAACGCTAATCTCCAAGCTGTCATCTTCTGGGTTAAAAATGAAAAATTAACATTGATGAGCAATATATTCTTCAAATACTGACTAAGAAGTGCGTGCACTAGGACGAGTGAATTCAAAATATTGCGGCACTTGTACAGATAATGAAACTGTTAAAACTCAACTCGTGTAACTTACCGGTATCCTCGATCATGCCCTGTAGAACTCCCACAAAGTTTATTTTATTAGAGTCCTCGTTAACAGTCATCATTACTATACCGCCGCCGCCTTTCCTCTGTCGGTCCCCTTCTGTCTCGGGCAGCAACAGCGAGCTGAACGTTTCTGTGATGACGTAATAGAAATTAAGATGTTAGTAGTGTCTGCGGATATTTTTTTCTATTGCACTTTTTAGCATTCCGGCAAAAGAACCGCTTAACTGCACACGGCCGTAGAGGGAGTTTGAGTAAAGGGGTTGGAAAATGCAACAATGAGATTCTTTAATTGAGCTGTTTTTAGTAAATTATTTCGTCATGAATTTACTGAAAGGTCACAGAATACACAAAGATCGCGAAATTGAATTTTAAAAGGTTATGTTTTTGTGAAATAAATACTTACCCGTGGACGTCGCACGGTGGGTGACGATACGACCTCTGACCTCGCCATCACGATAAGAACGGGTGGTTACAGTAACGAATACCATTCCACTGTCAAGGTAACGGAGATGTGTGTTCGGTAGATTCCTCCACTGCCCACATATCTGTAAAACAAATCGGAAACTGTTTAATACGCAGCTTTTACAAGTTAATCTTGTATTAACACGTATATTATACATAATTTAACAACCAAAATACAATGTCTGAATCGCAACGTAAACGCGTATCACGCAACAACCTTATCACGTGATAACCACGTGTTGAATCTTAAATACTCACCATGTTGGATTTCCCAACGGTTTCATGGACATCGTGTTCGTATAACGTGTTGTTCAAAACATCAGAAAAATACACTTGCCTTGGTTTCTTCAACCTAAATAAAAAAAAAAAATTAAAACTTGTATAATTTAATTGAAATATACAAGTATGATAAAAATAAATATTTTACATAATATTCGCCTAATTTTGATAGTTCGGCGATATTGTACCGACTTTCACTACTCACCCCTTGAAATAGATGGAAAAATGCAAATCTCCGTTAACGAATAGAAAATGGCCCCGCGCAGCGCCATCTGTTGTCACTCTGGGTTGCATTTCAGAACCAGTCATCACAGAGAGAAATTCTTGAAAAAAACAAAGAAAACATTTTACTAAATATATATATCTATTATGTATTATAAGATTGTATATAATAGATTCAGACTCGTGCCATGCAATGGTGTTCCTCCATAATAATGGGCTTACCTTCGCCTATGTTTCGTCCTTCAAAAGATTCGTGATCGCCATGAACTTCGGAGTATTCTTTCGCCAAATTATCTGGTACAATCTCTGTAACAAGTAGGGACATACAAATTATGATTGATATACGCGTCATGTACTAGTAGTTACACGTTAGTTGATTTGCCGATGGATGTGGATGCTAAAGCGCCGTAAAACAAAGCACACTTACTGGTATCTGGGCATCGTTTACAGCACTCGCCTTCGGGGAGTATGGGTTCGTCACATGGCAGCTCCTTTGGGCATTCATTTTTTATATTACGACAGGATACTTGTCCCATTAGCTCACCACGTTTAACAACCTGTGGTATACAGACATTATTATTCAATTAATTTAAACATAATGAACAGAAATTCGTTCAACATTTGAGTATATTTGTGCGAGGTGTGAAGAGTTGGCAGCTCCGTATTGTTTGAAAGCAAGTGTCAATAAAACAGGGTGGAATTTAAGCCTCTGTTCGTAATACTTGACAATACATACATGATTGCAAGATTTAACACTGCTGCTGTCAGTCCCGAATGGGACGCATTGATCATGTAGAAAGTGTGAAATACATTTACGCCAAATTGAATGAAACTGAACAAACTGTCGCGCATTTCTCAGGTGTTCGAATTGTGTAGGTGTGAATTTACATATTGCGGAGGAAACAGACTCAGTCTCTGTCATGTATTGCCTCTTGAGGCATTTCAAGCGCGTCGTCACGTGGTCTCCGATTTCAAAAGGCGCACTTTAGTGCACAATAGAATGGCCACTATATTGTTCTCATAACGAGGCTCGATGTTCAAAACTTGAATTAATTTAGCAGTAGTGTAGTTTTCTCAATAATCAATGGAGTTTACCCAATTTACGGTAACCCTCTTTTATTCAACAAATTAGGGAGGTGTGAAAAGTAATACGATCAAATTGGTGAAAAATCTATTAACACCACCTAAGTCATAAATAATTACCAGGCAACTTTCGCACTTATCCTCCCTGTGTGATCTAAGCTTTGTTCGAAGCTTTGCCGTGGTAAACATCTGTCTTAGGATGTTTGTGCGTTTATTTCAGTAATAATAACGCTATTTGGGGATAATTACAGTCGATTTAAAAATACCACCACTGGTGTGAAATTCTCGCAATTTGTTCTATGGTCGCATTGTTAAATGAGAATGTGATCACGCCCAGTAATAGGGATCGACTGATAAAAAAACAACCCACATTTCCGTTCGAGTCATTATAGCGTGTTGATGACTACGCAATTCAAATCCCGGACGATGGATGGAGGTCAATGCATCTAAATATATCTTACCCGTTCACATGTACAACGAACACACAACATGACTCCGATGGGGTCGCCCAAATCTGGATTCCAGGTTTCATGAAACTCGTAGAAGTTGCCACCAAAGCTACAGCCTGTAAAAACGAGAATATCAACGGCATGATATTATATAATCGAACTATTTTACACTATTGTGATCCAAAGGCAATCGTCGACAAAACAAAATATTATTTATCAATTTATAACTCATGGGTTAGACCACATCGTTCAGCGTCACGGTGTTCATCCGAGTTAGGGAACCACGGCCAGGAAATCACGGCGCAGTACGACACGAGCTTTAATAACAGATATAATATAGATATTTATATATATTCAAATAAAAATTGTAGCAAATTGGAAATGAAAGGAAAAAAAGGACACTGGGGAGGATAATTTATCTTCTTAGTCCTGATCAATGTCACTCTTTCGCGCCAATCAATATTCAAATTACTAGCGCAAGGCATTAGTATACCGCGTTGTTGCGAGGGAAAAACAACGCCCTTTTGAAACCTCACTCCAGCGAAAGACTAAAGTCTTGAGAGCATGTTTTAAAAGGCTCAAATGGATGAATTGTAAAAATCCCGAGTTGAAGGCGGAATCCCATCTTGGCGTCACCATGGTTACTTATTTTTTTATATATAGTGTGACGGATACGACTCAATGATGAAACGCAGAAAAAATAGTTATCTGTGATGACAGATAAAAAATGTGTTTCGTTGTTTTTAGGACAGATGGTAATAAGGCTTCTTTAGAAGTTACGCTAGCGAGTGCGACTTACCTTCGAGGCCCTTGGAATGTCTCGGATCATCGTCGGCTTTGATCACTGGTGCTACAGCTTTCCCTCCAGGAAGACACATAATTGCACTGATAGTGATGGTGATGCATAGAAGGAAAAGCGTACACAATGAATGGGCCATACTTCAAGGTGATTGGTGTTTGTAAGACACTGAAGTAAACTGACCGCGCAGTTGGAAACCGATAACAAATCGTTCCTGCTGTTGATAAGTGTTTCACCCGCTGTCTTGTTCGGTGTGAGTTGTTCCTTCAGTTTTGTCTAAGCCCGCTAGATTGTCATAGCTTTGCTAGGGAAGGTCCTTGGGATGGTACTTCGGTGGTGTTAAACGTGCGTTGTGTCTGTCCGACCTGTCTTGTTTTCTCTATTTAAACGGAATGAGCTAATTTGCATAAATCATTCAATCCACAGGTTTCAGCAGTTGCCCACCCATTCCGACAGCTTCATTATAGCCGATAGTGAATTCATTACCATGTATAAGTGTTCAATTCGGCGTGCTTTGTGCAAGTGGTTCGTCACTACTGTCGTACGTTTTCATTTTTTCCTTTGCGACGTTAAATTAGCCAAGCGCCCACTTTCAGGCGCAGTGACTTGAACAGTAACCTCGCCTGTTGTATCCATAACAGACTTTCTCAAACGTGAATTCAATTTACCATCTGAACTCGACATTAATTGGCCCTCTGACTTCTCATTGTTTGGCCAACGGTTCTCCAGTAAAGGGTTCATTACGCAACACCCTTGCTGTGAGTGTCGGTAGCAATTCCTTTCTTTTCAGTGTATTCGGGTTGTTTATGTTCAAATCATACGGACAAAGCCAACTCGAAGTGCCACCTTTCTCCCGCAGTACAATTTTAGAGGTTCATGCACACATAAGTATAGGGGCCACCTCAACTAGATAATAAAGTAAAAATTCCTCATTTTCATGGTCATAAACTTGAAGTTCTTAAAATTAAATATAATCGCGAATTGAAGGCCTGTCACTAGAGTTTTCTAAGGGCATGACATTATACCAGGCGTGTCAAGTGGTCAATTAACGCGTTTACGGCTAATAGCCAGGTTTGGAGGATGAAATGACCACTTTACTACCGGACATGCTCAATGTCATGTGATACCGCACATCAACTGTTGAAAATATACGAAAATGACCATCGCTGTGGTCATTTATGCGAAACCGATGCGACCTTTAAAACCCGGCTAAATTACGGATTGTTTCACTGTACAAACATCTCCAATACAAATAATAGACTGGTTTGTCTATAGGTGTAGATAGACGGTATCTTTCCCCGCCTTTTCTCGTACTCAAACCATCCCAGACGCTTTATTGAGTAGTAAAATGTTTCACACCACTTGAATAATAGTTTTCGTCTTTTCACACATTCTCTTCGCGCCTTCTTAATAATAGCAACGATCAGCCGTGAATCCCCTGGCTATTAAACTAACTAATCGGCTATTCTGACGTGTCTGGCTGACGTTTAAACGTGATTTTTTTTGTATACAAATCCAGCTACCGTAAGTGAAACAAGATTGTATATTTTTTGTTCGGAAATCAATATTCCACAATGTCGATTTAATTTACCATACTTTTCAGAATCGAATTCGTAGTCACTTTTCAACAACTTGAAGCTAGTAAATCACTATTCAAACTAAAGGGGCCATCATGTCCCTGCTTTCTAGTACATACACTGTGTCGTCAACATCAAGTCAGTAAATCAATTATATGTCCACTGGATTCAATTACAAGGCGTTTTCAAAGAACAACTTTTCGACAAATGACATCGGTCGTATTGACATAGGGATTTTTGTAGTTGATTACAACATCACTTTTCTTTATATAACTAATGTTGAGTACTCTCCAAGTAGTTATGTATTGCCGGGGATTGTAATTGATGAGCATAACTGCAATTATTTTATGAATAATATTCACTGTACGACAATATTTGTTCCCAAATCAGCGTATGCGTGTATGTGGTATTAATAGTTTCGAACACACAATTAAACAACTGTGGTCATCCTGTGGATAGTCTAAGTACTCATTATCATACTACCAGTAATCCAGTCTTATAGAAGCAACACAGTATTTTTCACTGACTGGATCATCCAGGCTTCAAATTCAGCAAAACATATTATTTGATCCGGAAACAAAACTCGTCATTTCCTTCATCATTTCTAAAATAGCCTTTGAATCGATCTATAATTTGATTTTATTTAATTTACCTGAACCCCATTATTTTACAGATTTTTTATTTATTTCTCCATTAAAAAATATGCAATCATTAATAAGATTTATTTTGTGACAATTGATTGGCGTTCAAAGAGTTGTTCAACGCAACATTCGATGACGAGAATTCGTGCACCTTTCACTTCTACTCATAACATCGGTTTCCACGTTAACGTCAACGGCTGAATGCGGCGCTGTTCAGTCCCGGCTGTCCCAAGCAAAGACGCTATGACGTTGAATTAAAAATATCGTTATCGAGTCGCTAGTCTGATCTTGGATCTCATCAGCTACATGATTAGCCCGGTGGTTTCAGCATATAATTGATCGGTTTCAGTAGACTGTTATCACGAAAGTTATTTCAAGCTGTGTACGAATGAACCGCCAAATATAGAGTTTTTTCGAGCAAAGTTACGGAAAGCATTCGGCAATAAAGGGGCTCATGATACTCGCCACCCGTTGCCGAGTATCAAAGCCAGCAACAATTTTGCGTCCGAGGCCAGACAATTATTGCGTAGACCACACACCTTTCACGGTTGTTCAGTCATTTGTAGGAGTTCAAGTGTTATGTTTTTAATTTATCAGTACAACCACAAACTGTTAAATGCACTCATCTTACAAAGAAGACATTTATAGCGCTCGGAGGAGAATAGTCCTGTAAGAAACAACATTCTTGCGACATGATACCGCCATAAAAGTATTTACAATTTGACTCTTGTCGAACCAAAGAGTCGAAAACACTAGGAATGCTTTCCAAACTGGACTCATTTACGACAAACGCTCGACAGGACCCCCTCCCGTCCCCACCCACGGTGATGAATCACTACCGATAAAGCCTTGTTCATTATTCCTGATATTGTTTCTCTTTTAGCTTTATTGTTCATCTAACACCCCGTAATTCCTTTTTGTATTTGCTCGCTCTTTTGTACACGGATGCTTTTTTTAAATAGAGCATTTTCTCTCCTGGATTTGGAAGTTTGAATGAGCGGATCTGACCCCTCTTTGTTTGATCGCGGTGCCAACAAAAAGGGTGTGTGCGAAATTCTTAATTAAGCTCTTTTTACGCGTCCCGCTTTTCACACGTTTGCCACCATGGTTTCACACGTAACGTGTCAGAACTCGCCAGCAGGTGCTAACCTTATTGTGTTTGCCTGGCAAATCCACACTGTTTAACAATAACCAAATGAGAGGTATACACAATTGGATTTCTCACATTCCCCGAAAATTTGTTCAATCGATTGACGTCGACAGCCAGTATGACTTTCCGTTGAGTGTCCGATGCCCGGTGTATTTTAATACAAGTATCGTGAAAGGCGTCACAGGAGAGGGTGAAGAGCATCGAAATAACATAACATTGTTCTTAATTATATTCCAGTACGAAGAGCACATTTACAATTGAATTCTAAAAAAAAATACTAAATCTTTTTTTGAAGAACGACAAGGAAAAGATATAAATTCCCGATTCCATTTCGTAATTTTGATCATCCACATTTACCATGTGACGTTATTGTAGCATAGGATGTTACACTATAGCGTTTCTATGGTACGTGGACCTTGGTGACCATATCAATGCCGAGGAAAGGTGCCCAGGTCTACAAGCCCCTAGCTACCAAGATTATGGTGCCACAACAGTATGGACAGGCTCACTGATGATAGTCTTAACGTTACACATATTGTCTAAAGATGGGGGGCGGTCATTCTACATTTTGACTATTATGTAGGTTCAAAAATAAATTTGCATTTTAACACACTTTCCATTCAGTCTACAGCTATCATATGATATACACTTATTGGAAAACCGTCCCGCGTAGAAAACACATACTACTGCATACTTTCTTTCAGAAGAACTCTCAGACTACAAAATACCGAAAAGTGGAATTTTTACCACGGAGCTTCATGTACTTCTTCTATGTAAATCTGTCCATGTCTCGTTGAACATATTTTGAAATCCCCGCACCAACTCCACATCTCTAAACTATGGGAAACTTATTCCAATACATTACAAATAATCCATACATTATACAAGAGCTACAATTTGGCATCTTATATAGAAAGAATTTTAAGACATCTCTCACCATGGACAACGATGAAATCACAAAATAGATTATGTTACCAAGAAATCAAGGCCGGTCGGCCTCTTTAGTATATAAACTAATTATTATAGTATTGCCTTGGTGAAATGTAATTCCGACTGAGAAACAACGGTGTTCTTACTCCGCGAAAGAGGGCGGAGGGGGGGGGGGGCTTGAGGATGGATACGCAAGTACTGTTCGAATTTGGCGGAGAAGAGGGGTGTAGCTTTATATTTATAGAGTTGGCATTACGCGGTCGCGGAAAACCGTAAAGTTTACATTTTTCTTAAGTCAGGGAAAGGAACATAAATTATTTGTTTGTAAACGTCACTTCCCTTTACGCGTCGA